GTGTGTGTGTGTGTGTGTGTGTGTGTGTGTGTGTGTGTGTGTGTGTGTGAAGTTGTATGAGTTCTTTATATATTTTGGATATTAATCCCTTATCACATATATCATTGGCAAATATCTTCTCCCATTCAGTAAAACTTGTCTTTTCATTTTGTTGATGGTTTCCTTTGCTGTGTAAAAGCTTTTACTTTGATGTAGTCCCATTTGCTTATTTTTAATTTTGTTTCCCTTTCTCAAGGAGATAAATCCAAAAAGATACAGCTAAGACCAATGTCAAAGAGTTTACTGCCTATGTTTTCTTCTAGGAGTTTTATAGTTTCAGGTCTAAACATTAAGTCTTTAATCCATTTGAGTTTATTTTTGTATATGATGTAAGAAAGAGTCCCAGTTCTATTTTTTGCATGTATCCAGTTTTGCCAACACCATTTATGGAAGAGGCTGTCTTTATCCCTTTGTATAGCCTTGCCTCCTTTGTCATAGATTAATTGACCATATAAGTCAGGATTTATATCTGTGCTGTCTATTCTGTTCCATTGATTTATATATCTGTTTTTATGCCAGTACCACACTGTTTTGAGTATTGTAGCTGTATAGTATATAGTTTGATATCAGGGAGCTTGATACCTCCCGCTTTGTTCTTTCTCAAGGTTTCTTTGGCTATTTGGAGTCTTTTGTGGTTTCATATAAATTTTAGGATTAGTTGTTCTAATGCTGAGAAGAATGCCAGTGGTATTTTAATAAGGATTGCACTGAATGTGCATATTATTTTCAGTAGTGAAGACCTGTTGACTATTAACCTTTCTAATCCATGAGCATGGTATATCCTTTCATTTATTCCTAGATTGTTCAGTTTCTTTCTTCAGTGTCTTATAGTTTTCAGAGTATAGGTCTTTCACCTCTGGTTAAATTTATTCCTAGGTATTTTGTTCTTTTTGATGCTATTGAAATGAGATTTTCTTTTTCTTCTGATGGTTCTTTACTGGTGTGCAGAAATGCAACAAATTCCTGTATATCGATTTTGTATCCTGCAATTATATTTATAATTTATTAGTTTTTGGTGTAGTCTTTAGGGTTTTCTATATATAGTATCATGTTATCTGCAAATGATGAGAGTTTTACATCTTTTTTTCCAGTATGGACACCTTTTATTTCTTTGTCTTGTTTGATTGCGTGTCGAGGACTTCCAATACTATGCTGATTAAAAGTGGTGATAGTGGACATCCGTGTCTTGTTCCTGATCTTAGAGGAAAGGCTTTCAGCTTCTCAAATAAGTTGCTCTAGTACTTCCTTGGGACTGAGTGTGGCTTCACAGATACGAGGACAAGTTAGTTCCACCTTATTTCTTTTTAATTCAGCAGTTTAAGATATTTACCTACAAATTGTTTAAATTTACTCCATTCCTCTGCCTAATTGAATTCTACTTGCCTGGCTTTGTTAAAGCCATTTCCCATAAACATACCAATGATAATGCATGATGATCATTCTTACTTAATATCAATACTAAAAAACTTCAATAAATGAACTGATCCTAACACAACACAATCAAAATAACTCAATATGACTAAATCAAGTCAGTGGTGGCCTGTGGCAGACGCTAGCACAGAACTCTGGGCTCAAAGTGGGAAGGACCATGCCTGTATATGCTTTTCTGCTCTGATACTGTAGGAGCTACTTAACTTAAATCTTCAGTTTACTCAGGACTTAAGTAAAATTGGAGATGTAATAGCACATACCTTATGACATTACCATATAAAATAGATGCCTTCAGGATTAAATGAGATAATGCCTCTGAAGTGTTTGGCTTCATTTCCATTTCATAGTAAGCATGGGATATAAGAAATATAAGCTGCTTTTATTGTTATTTTTGACCTGTCAGCTAGGTTCAAAACTTTCTCTCCTTTGCCCTCCCACCCTTCCCAAAAGCTTTCGTAACTGTCCTGCCTACTTTAACTGTTCTATGTCCTATCCCTTTAGAGACCTAGTGAGTTAGCATCTTGCTAATTCTGATGAAGAAAAATATGTGGCAATTTCTTTAAGCTATAATCAGTCATTTTGAGTTTCTACTTCTAAGAGACATTTACATTTAAATAGTTAAACATTTTTTAGAGCAGTTTTAGGTTCTGTTTACATTTTTACATGTAAATGTATTTGCATTTATAAGATGTGTTCTTGTTTAAAAGTATAATATCATTATCTAAAAGTGAGGCTAAGGAAAGACTTTCTTTCCTAAGGTCACTGTTCCCTTTAGCAAGGTGAATCCCTGCACCGTTCCCTGCACCGTTCTAGGACGTAGCCACTCTGAAACTTCCAGTATCTCTTTTTAAAACTTCCACTATTTAATTGCACTATTTTTGTCATCTTGACCTTGCCCTGACATGTAATTTATTATGTAGCTGTTTCATTATTTAGTACTGGTTTAAAACTACATAAGAGCTTTAATAAGATAACTGTGTGTTTAGCATTAATAAATAATACATTAAGGAGTAATTTTGCATGTGCGTGTGAACCTGAAAATTGCTACATATGAAGTTTTTATTTATCTCCGATGCTATCTCACCCTTAATTATATAATAAATAATGCATTTCTTTCTAGTAACACTTATTTTTCCATGTTTTATATAGAACACTTGAAGGAAAAAAAAGTCTTCACTTTTATTTTAGAGATTTTTGGTACCCACGGCATCACCGAAAAGCATGCATAAAGGCCTAAGTGTTCAAATCTTATTTCTTTAACTTAGAGGAGATTACAAATTGGTTGTGACTAATATAGCAGATTGAGATTTCTCCAGCATTTTGCTTCTCAGAGATAGATCTGATCCATTTCCAATGGATCCTATTTTATCAATCTAGTAATGAAAGTAACCCAGGAAGGAGAAATGTTTGCATTTCAAATAAAGTTCAACCCTTTAGTTTTTGGGTTAAGTCCTAGAAATGGTGAGCTGGCAAGGGGAAATTTCACTTTAGCGTTTCATGTTCATCTTAAGAAGCATTCCGAGTGGTAGAAAAGGTAGGGATATTTGTTTAATTTGCGTATTACTTGCTCAGGTAGGCCCTTGAACATTTATCCAAGCTTCTCAATTTCCATTGTAGTTCATAATAAGAAATTTTTTGTGTTCTGTCTGTGGTTGATGGTTATTCTTTCTAATTTAGAGAATATTGAATTTGGTTCGTGCATAACTATACATGCTCTCATTGGCCGTCTTTCATCTCTTTCTATTGGGTTGTCGGAAAAGTCATGATGTAATTTTTCTATGGTTTTTGTTGCAAAAATGCATCATGACTTTTCTGACAACCCAATATATAAAATATTCTCAGGAAAATCAAAGTATGCATCACTGGTTAAAAAAGAAAAAAATATTTTTGAAAGAGGGCTGAGTAAATGTGGATGTAAAAGTTAGATGTTTGGCTAGTTGATTGTGTTGAAAGTGCTAGTTGTTTCTGATATGATAGTTGAAAACATTTGGGTAAAATACAGGTCAACTGATCGGTACATTTAACATTCATTCAACTTAGAGACTACGCCTTTGGAGACATTTTGCAACTTCTGCATGCCTTGACGCCTAGGCCATGTTTTGGAATCCTGCCCTGAATTGGACAAGAGTCACTATCAGAATGATGTGTATAATACTGTTAAAACACACAGACTTTTCTGAGTTCTGTTTAACTGTTATTACAGGACATCACAAGCATGTAATTTTCTTTTCCTCAGAATTTACCTGTCTACCTTTGGGTAGGTTTATTCATTCATTCAGTTGTGCATTAATTCACTAGGTATTTACCAAGTATCTTCTACCTGTGCCAGAGGTACTGCTTGAGGCCAGGGGATTCAAAAATTAATACGACTTGGTGTCTGTATTTGCAAGGCTTCAAGTCTAGTCCAGAAGACTGTTGTACATCACTAATCATGCTGTGATATGACAGTTCCTGAGAGAGGTGTGTACGGAGTGCTAGGGCAACGCAGGAAGGGTCTGGCCGTGCCTGGGACTTCGGGGCCAGCTGCTGATTAAGTAATTTCAAACTTTTCTCTGTCCTAGCAGAAATTCTGCCTTCATGGAAAGGAAGTGTGTTCTTTCTCCAGGGATGTCACTACAGGTTTTAAAATTCAAGAAATGGAAGCACCCCTAGGATTTGAAATTATTAAAAATGATGTAGTTTTCTCCCCAAAGTTGTGTCCACTGTGTTAGAATTAAACAATATTCTGTTTGGGTTAATCTGTTCCCTCAGGCCGTATGAAAATGTTAGAGTAAATACATTTTCCTCCTTCCACCACTGGAATATAAATAAGTTCCTTGAGGTCTTACTACATTATATTTAGGTTACAAGTATTTTTGTCTGTTTTGTCATGTTGCATCCCCAGCTCCTACACCTGTCTAGCTCATAGTAGGTGCTCAACAAATACTTATTGAATGAATCGAACATCGTTGCCTCAGTGGAGCTTTATCGGGTGTACATTTTTCCTCTAGAGCAGCGGTTCTCAACCTTTCACAGGGGTCGCCTAAGACCATCGGAAAACACATATTTTCCAATGGGCTTAGGAACCGAGACACCGCTCCTCTATCCGTCTCCAGGCCCACATGCAGATACGCCCACATATGAGTACCCAGCGACCCCTGTGAAAGGGTCGTTTGACCCCCAAAGGGGTCGCGACCCACAGGTTGAGAACCGCTGCTCTAGAGGAACTAGACCAAATTGTAAGCATCTCAAATGGATAAGAGCTTATTGTATTAGGCAGAGGGTAGATTCCTAGAGGCCTCAGAGTGAGAGAATCTGTGTTTCTATCAGTAAAAACTCATTACTCATTGTTAAACTTCCTATATTTGAACAAATAAAGAAAACCTGTGTTCCTTAGTCTATTTCTTGTCCTACACTAGATGGTTGGGCTTTCTATTCTTCCTCTTGAGAACTCGTGTTAAAATATTTGTATGTTTTCCTTTGTTTACAGCAAAGCAAGGACTCTATTTGAAAAAAATGCTGCTCCGATTTTACACTTATCTGGCATGGATGTGACTATCGTTAAGGTGAGAATTGCTGCAGTGTTGATTTTATCCACACTCACCCTTCTTATAACACAGCCTCTTCTCTTAACTTCTTAGCAAAAATTGCTTCTCACTTAACAGCAAAATCAATGCTGTGTACTTGTTCTGGTAATTAATCAAAGCAAATTTGTTTTTCAAAACATTGTCAGCTTTTTATTTTCAAAATAGGATGAGATGGAGGCATGATGAAAATTGTGATAGCTGCAAGAATTCTTTTTCCAAAAATAAAAACTTTAAGTTTGAGTAATTAAATTTCTTGGTAGTTCCACAGACATGTAAACATTTTTTTCTCTGGTGATGAATTTTAAATGGTAAAGCTTCAGAATTTAGGAGATTTAGGTAAAAGTAGAGAATTGCGCTTATCGCAGAAGATGCCTCAAGATTCTACTTGGTTGACTTTTAAGTGGTATGTGTGTGATATGTACTTAGGAGGGCATATTTTATGAAAATTGCTGTTACCCTGCCTGTAAGTCTATGGTTTACCTATTTTTAACATTACACACTTTCATTAAATCATAAAGATGAAAAGATCAGTTCAATTTACTAGGAATTTTGAACTCTCTTCTCCAACTTGTCTGTAATATGGTCTTCCAGTTGTCTGCCTCCAGGAATGTGAGGAAGGGTTAAAAAAACGAACATTTATTTAAGTACTTGTATTGCATATTATAGGCTTTATGCATGAGAGATCCTAGAATGGTTATTTCAGACTGATATTATTTGTTCCTGGAATGTTGGGATGAACTTACAAGTAAAACCATCAGGGCCTGGAGCCTTCTTTGAGGGGATTTCTTTAATATTAAATTTCTTTAATGGCTCTAGAAGTCCTCAAGTTCTCTTTCTTCTTGAATTAATTTTGGTAAGGTAGATTTTGCAAGGAATTTGTTCATTTCATCAAAGTTTTCAAATTAATTGTCATCAAGTTGTTCATAATGTCTTTTAACTTTTAGATTTCTGTAACGTCTGTAGTATCTCATTTTCATGCTTACTATTGTTTTTGTCCCTTTCTTTTCTTTCAATAGTCTTATGAGAGGTGCATCACTTTAATTAATCCTAGCCTAGAACTACTTTTTGGCTTGTTGATCCTGTCATTTATGCTTGTTTCATTAATTTCCGGTCTGTCTTTGTTTCCTACATTCTACTTTCTTCGGATTTTTTGCTGATCCTTTCTGACATTTTAATGTGGATATTTACTTCATTAAGTTTTACCCTTCTATTCTATCTTCATTTAAAGCTATAAATTTCACTCTATTGCTTTAGCTGCATCCTAGAAATTTTGATTATATTATTTTGATTTCTAAATATTTCTAAATTTCCATCATGATTTTTGTTTGACCTATGAGTTATCTAGGCATGTTTTAAAATTTCCAAATTTAAAGTTTTACCAAATCTTTATGTTAATGATTTCTGCTTTTACTGTGTTGTGGTCAAAGAGTGTAGTCTATGTAATTCCAGTATTTTAAAGTTTACTGAGACTTGCTTTAGGGCCTAGCATGTTGTTCATTTTTATAAACATTTCATGTATGCCTAAAGAGCATGTGTATCAGTTGTTGGGTATCACATTCTGTGTATGTACATCAAGTCAGATCTGTTGTGTAGCTCAAATCTTCTGTCCTTCCTGGTTTTTTCTTCTGTTTTAACTATAGATCATTCAGAGAGAGAGAGAGAGATAGGTGTTAGAAATTTCCCACTATAATGGTGGATTTGTCTATTTCTCTATGTAGTTTTGTCCATTTTTGCTTTTCATATTTTGAGACTAATTTAGTAGATGCATTTAAGTTGCAAATTATTTCATTCTTCTTGAATTTTGATTCTGTCATAGAGTGATTCTCTTTTGCACTAGCCCTGTCTCATGCCATAGTCTGTCTTATCTAGTATTATTAGTAACTATACTAGCTTACTTTGGTTAGTTTTTGCCTCATGTAGTTTTTACATCTTTTTACTTTCAGCCATTTATATCCTTATATTTTAGATTTATCATTGGTAAAGGCATCAAAACAGGATATTTTAAAAATCATTTTTTTTCTTTAGACTGTACCATTTAATCCATTACATTTATTGTACTTGTAGATATATTTAGATCTATTTCTATACTAGTTATCTATTGCTTCATAACAAACTGCCTCAACAACTATTTCTCTGCTTATGATTCTGTTGGTCAGCAGTCTGTTCAGAGCTGTTCTCATGCTGGTCTCGCCTGGGCTTCTCAGTGGCATGTCTTTTCATGGCCTAACAGCTCATTTCTTTTTATCACTGAATAGTATTCCATTGCATAGATGTACAACAGTTTATCCATTTACCTACTGAAGGACACCTTGTTTTCAGTTTTGGCAATTATGAATAAAGCTGCTATAAACGTTTTTTTTTTGTGTGTGGACATAATTTCTCAACTCATTTAGGTAAATATCTAAGAGTGCAATTGCTCTATTGTATGTTAAGAGTATGCTCAGCTTTGTAAGAAACTACCAAACTGCCTTTCAAAGTGGCTGCACCATTTCGCTTTCCCAGCAGCAATGAATGGGAGTTCCGCTTACTCCACATCCTTGTCAGCACTTGGTGTGGTCGGTGTTTGGGGTTTTAGCCATTCTAATGGATACATTTACATATATAGAGAGAAAGTGGTCTCATTATCTTGATTTGCAGTTCTCTGGTGACATAATATTGAGCATGTTTTCATTTGCTTATTTTTCATCTGTGCATCTTCTTTTGGGAGGTGTCTTTAGATTTTGGCTCTTTTAATTGAGTTGTTTCTTGTTTGTTTTCTTATTGTCGAGTTCTAGAGTTCTTTTTATATTGTGAGTACAAGTCCTTTATTAGATATGTGTTTTATATTTTCTGTTATACCATCTTTTCTTTTTCTCAACAGTGTTTTTCACAGAGCAGAAATTTTTCATTTTAAGGATGTTCAGGTCATCATTTTTTCTCTCATGGATCTTACTTTTGGTTGATTTGTCATTGCCAAACCCAAGATTACCTAGATTCTCTCCTAAGTTATTTTCTAGAAGTTTTATAGTTTTTTTTATATTACGTTTAAGTTTGTGATCCTTTTTGAGTTAATTTTTGTGAAAGGTATAAGGTTAGTGTGTCGAAAGGTATAAGGTTAGTGTGTCGAAAGGTATAAGGTTAGTGTGTCGTTTCATCTTTTTGCATCATTAGTACACAGTTTTTCTGCTTCCTCTTTTGGTGCATTTGGAATTTTCCTCTTAGAATCAGAGCCTCAAATGTGTTATTTCTATTAATGTAATCTTTTAAATGATGGTCTGTTAAACCTGTCAAGATCTTTTTACATTTTGGCTCTTTCCTTCATGTACTTATTCACATTAAATTTTTTTTCAAATAGTTATTGAGTGCCTACTGTGAGATAAGCCCTATTCTAGGTATTGGGGATACAGTCAGGACAAAATAAACTTTCCCCTATCTGTCCTCAAAGAACTTCCATTCCAAGTATGAAAGGAAGGGTTGCCGATGTGAAACATACAAATAAACACACATGGTGATGATTGCAAAAGAGAAAAATAAAGAAGGGTAATGGGATCGAGAGTGAGAGGGGGTGTTAGTTTAGTTTAGAAGGCCAAGGATGATGGTCTGATAGATGACCTTTGAACAGAGACCTGAAAGAAATGAGTGAGTTGTGCAGCTGTGCAAAGAGGTAAAGAACCAAGGCCGAGCATCTGCATGGCCAAAGGCTCTGAGCGGGGAGTGTACTGGGGTGTGTGAGGGAGAGGAAGGGGGTCAGTGTGGTTGGAATGGGAGGAGCTACGGGAGACAGGGAGAGAGGATGAGGTTGGAGAAGGAAGGAGGGGCATGATTTTCAGCTTTGTATCACTTACATATTCAGTAAGTTTCCTTTCATCTCCTTGTTGATCAAGTGTTGTACAGGAAAAGGCTGAAGGGAAAGCCCTAAAAAAATGTCGCTAAGAATCTACCTACCCTTTGATGTCGCTTCACTGAGCATCTCACTTTCTAGACATTCAGCTGGTAACTAATTTAATTGTATTCTAACATATAGTTTCCACGTTTCCCACCTTGTCCCTGAGGATATTATCACATCGCTTGTCACGTGCCTTTCTGAAGGCCAGATACATCGTGTTAGTTTAGGGACTTCCTTTTTCCTCTCTGTTAACTGGGACTTATTGTCTCGGGCTTAACCCATCTGAAATCCAAATCTTTAATTTTTTCCTATCAATGTGTCTAGAATAGTGTGAATTGGAGGGAGTATTTCCTTATTTTAGTATTAATTGTATCATGTCTATTAAAAGTCAGTGTTGGTTTTAGAGGTGGTTGCTTACATGGTTCCTTTAGTCTATCTGAGATGAAGTCTTCTCATTCAAAATGGTGAGGCCTAGCTACGTTTGGTGACTAATTTGAATCATATGTATACTCCTTTATGTACAATAATATTCCAATGTACAATAATAACCTCCTTTGACTTAGTACAGTGCCAATTATGAACATACAGCTTTCCAATAGTATGAGGAAACTAGGATTATCCCCTTCCCCATCACACATAATTTCATTGATAAGGAAATGATGATCCCGAGAGTTTCAGGCTACTCAGCAGAAAAGTAGCAGAGTTGAGACTTAATCGGGGTCTCTTGGGCTCCCAAATCTGTGCTCTTCTCATGACATTTGCTTTTCCTCATTTGCATTTACACTTGACTTCCTGCTTTCAGAGGAAAGGCACTGGGTGAGTGATATCATAGGATCTGCACTGGACTGGAAATGAATCTTTTAACGAGCTAACTGTGTAACTGAGACAAATCAAAGCAAGGAGCTGACTGGATAGTTTCTGAGGTTTTTTCTGGCTCTAAAAGTGAAAAACTATAAAAACCATACATAGTTGCTCTGTTAGCTGTTTAGTTTTTCATGTCTATCAGTTATGTAGAATTTAAGAAAAGACTCAGGGTAAATCTTTAAAGAAAATAACCTGTAGTTTTAAAGCTTTCACCTGTGGTCTTAGGATGATACATTTACTGAAGGTTTTCTTTGCATTTCAGACAGATTATGAGGGCCAAGCCAAGAAGCTCTTGGAACTGATGGAGAACACAGACGTCATCATTGTTGCTGGAGGAGATGGGACTTTGCAGGAGGTATGGCCATTTTGGAGATGAGGAAGTTGGGAATTAGACCTTAGATGAATAGCATAATGTGGTTATAATTTAAGGAAGTTATTTCTTTGTAATCCATTTTCTTAGGACTGCCTCTCCTGAAATGTGTATAGCATTATGTTTTTCTCATGCACTTTTATTTCATTGCTTTGTATAAACTCTATACCCAGTACATAGAAGGGTTTTTGTTTTATTAAATTGAAGTGTGAAAAAATTAAATAAAACAGGAGACAAAATGATGGTGCATATGATAAGCTTTTTCTATTTTGAAGACTCTGATGAAGTAGCCCTATCATGGAATCATAGTTTCAGTTATGAGGGATGGCGCTTACAAAATACAGATTCCCTTAAATGCATCTGTTCACTCTCACTTAATTTCCATCATGTGTGATGTTGTCTCCTAGTAGCACACTTAGAGGCAGAGGTCTCCATGTTCTCATGGGTGCATCTGCCTTTGTTCTCATATTCCATATTCCTAGTGCTCGCTTTGGTCAGGGAAGGACAGTAAGTATATTGCCATATAGTGCTCTTGTTTTCCAGGGCAAGACTAGAACCTCCATAATATACTGGAAAGCCCAGTGCAGGCACCCCTCCCACTCAGTCATCCGTCTGTACATAATTCACATCCGTGCCTCATTTCCATCGCCTCCTGCCTCCCCCTGGGGTTTCATCTGTGTGGAGGGATCAGGAGCTAACCACAGACGGCACTGTCCTATGTTTGACTTAGCAATTATGTGAGCCTTCGTAAGCTTCTTTTACAAAGGCCGTGCTAATGATCTTGTAATTGTTTTTATGGCTTTTTAATGAAGTGTGAAGAATACTGATAGGATGGCAACCGAGAATGAAGTAGACCTCATGACAGCACCGTTTAATCCTAAAATGCAGGAGAGGAAGCAAGAAGATTGGTGTCGGCCTTTACAAAATGTTTTTAAGAAAGATACCAAACTGTGTATTTGGTACAATCCACTCATAAAAACACGCCCTGATGAATAAATAATTAGAGGGAAATATACCAAAATATAAATAATTGATTAATGATGGTTATCCTGCATGGTGGGTTTATAGGAAAGTATTTTTTCTTCAGGTATTTTTCAGTTTGTACAAGACATGTGTACTATATTTAAAAAATAAATTATGTAAAAATTCAAATTAATAATGTCTTTTCATAGAAGGACTACTATCCCGTGTGTCTTTATATTCATCAGTAAGAAACATTTATTGAGAGTAGACCTCTGAGTGTAGCAGTATTATTTTTTCTTATATGTATACTTATATGGAGCAGACTAAGGTCTTTTGTATAATTGATGTGAGCAGCACATTTATACCCATGTTATACAACTTAAAATATAAGTTTGCTAATATAATGTGGAGGTTTTGTAATTATTTTCTTAGCCTTTATTGTACTACGGACCTTAGGTCAAGAATAAAATTTAATTTAGCTCTGATCCTATTGGGCAATATTCGGTGTTTTAAGAGCCAAATACATCTTTTGACATAATTTCTAGGGAGAAAACATGAGCAAGTTTGTGGTCCATGAAAACCAAATCCAATTCTTCTATGATAAAGGAAAAATACATTGTTTATAATAATTTTTTTTAACATTTGTAGGTTATTACTGGACTTCTTCGAAGAGCCGATGAGGTAAGCGTTTAAGAAGAGTCATTGCATTTCAGCTTTCACATTTCTGTTCTTTTTCTCTCTCTTTACTTCTTTTACCTTTTCTCCCCATTTTATATTTTAAGGAGGGCATAAGTTGTGTTTTCTCAGATTTTAGAAAGTCAAGTACGGCTGCCTGTGTCCTAGGACAGTTCATTTTTTTAAACTTTATTGAGTAACAGTGTGTTTTCCCAGGACCCATCAGCTCCAAGTCAAGTCGTTGTCTTTCAATCTAGTTGTGGAGGGTGCAGCTCAGCTCCAAGTCCAGTCACTGTTTTCAATCTAGTTGCGGATGGGGGGTTGGGTGGGGGGGCACGCAGCCCACCATCCCATGTGGGTGTCGAACTGGCAACCTTGTTACAAGCACATGCTCTCACCAGCTCAGCGGCAGCTCAGCTTGGGCACAGTTCACTGGCCCATGCGGGACTTGAACCGGTGACCCTGTTGCTCAGAGCTCGCACTCTAACCAACTGAGCCACTGGGCCGCCCTGTCCTAGGACACTTATTAACTCATGCTAGACTTTTCTTCTTTGGTAATCCAGAGTATCTTATAGTTTTTACCAAGAGTTGTTTAAAATACAAAGATTTCCCCTAGAATTTTTCAAAAAGGATTCCTTCATAAATAATTTGTGGTCTGTTTATATACTGGAAGCCATACAGCGGTTAAAATGAACTAGATTTATAAATATCTACATGGTTACATCTAAAAAATACTCAATAAAAAAGTCAGGTTGCCAAAGTACGTCATGCATTTCTACCAAGTTTTAAAATTCAGGAAACAAGCATCCTGTTAATGGATGCCTAAGATAATGTAGTGAAGAATAACAGCGTGGATGGAAAAACATCACGCCAGTCTCAGGATAATGGTTTCCTTTGGGAGGGAGGAGAGAAGAAGAGGATGAGAGTGACCTCAGATGTATCTGTATCATTGTATTTCTGAAAACATCTGAAGCAAATATGGCAAAATGGAACATTTGTTAAATCTGGGTTTTGGGTGTATGAGTGTGACATTATTTTCAACACTTTTCTGCAATAGTTTACAATATTTTAAATAACAGCAAGAAAGAAGAGTTCCCAGTCCCTTTGGTAATAGTAGGTGGTCCTCAAAATAGTTTTTGGGAGCCTTACATTATCTCTTTATTTGTGGCATTTAATTCAACGGCTATGCCATTAACTTCTGCTACTTGAAGTTGCTTATTCTCGTTCCCTTATTTATGCTCAAGATAGTTTATAAAACACTTTCACTTGTATCAGTTATTGTATATATGTTAGATATTTCTGAAACTTTTTCACATAGTGTGACAACATAATTCAGTCTTTATAGTAGTGCATTTATCTAATATCTTTAAGACACTTTTTTCTTAACCAAATTTCTTTGAACCAGTTGCTGTTAATGAGTACCCAAATATTTCTTCCACATTCAAAGTCATGTTGTTTTCATGGACTCATTTTGGAAACTGCTCACTTACTGTTACCTGATTGCTGGTCTAGGGTGTGTGGCAAGGGAGATGGGGGGGTGGGCCCAGGGTCACTTATAGTTAGTTACTTGTCATAGTAGACACATTTGTGCCTCTCTGTTCAGCCTGATTTTCTGACCATAAACAATAAAACTTTCTTCTTCTTTTCCACCCAGGCGACCTTCAGTAAGATTCCCATTGGATTTATCCCACTGGGACAGACCAGTAGTTTGAGTCATACCCTGTTTACCGGAAGTGGAAACAAAGTCCAGTAGGTTGTCAGTGTGGGATGGTAGCATTTGTGGGTGAGCGAGTCTGTGCATGTGTGAAAGAATATTTGTTTTGAGTTTGGATAACCTGAAACGTCAAATCATTAAGAGGAGGACCTAGATTGGAGTTTAATCTTTCAGTTCATTGGGAAGGTTCCCTGTTGGGTTGTGGGACCCTAGCTGCTCTAATATGAAGTCACCAGGTCAGGTATGGAGATGAATACTGATGTCCTTTGGTCAGTTATGAAGGTAGCCTCCCCAATCAGATGGTGCTTGTGCTTTTACGTTGTAAATTCTCTAGTGAAGGACAGATTTGCACTGATCATTTGTTTGCTTTAAATATTCACGATGACAGCTAGCAGGTCCTTTGTGAAGACTGAGCCGTAGGTAGCCTTGGCTTAATTATCTTGATAATGTTTAAGTAGCTAAAACAACTAAATATAGTCACATTGTTTTGGGAATTCCTGAAGTGGAAGGCAGCATGGGTGAGGCAGACAGGGAAAGCAGTGCAGCCCTGACGTCTGAGTTAAATGGTATGAGTCTCACAGTGTCTTCAGGAGTCCGGCAAGTGGCTGTTCCTGTTCATTTCCCTCCAAAGTGTTATGTAGACAGAGCTCTAGTCTTTCAAGTAGATAGGAACCTTGAATTTGAGTCCTGACTTTGACAGTGATTAATAATGTAATCTTGAGCAAATCGTTTCTAGGCTATCGTTGTCAGTTGCCTGATCTTTAATGTAAGCTTTGTGATACTTTAGGGGAGGTCAATAAATAAATATTTGTTGGATGAATTAATTAAAATCTTCTCATGACTTTCTGGTTATAACCTTCTAGAATCAATAACAATAATAATACTCAGGAGATTCTCTGCTTTGAATTTTTTCCTGCCTTGGGATTTTGATTAGACTAGTTTTGTGGATTCATTTTTGCTGTTGTAATTTTAGGAGTTACCTTACATCTTTGAGCATTTCTCTCTCTCTCTCTCTCTCTCTCTCTCTCTCTCTCTCTCTCTCT